GCTCTTCCTTAATTTTACGGATAGTAATACAAAAGCAAAGAAAGTAATTGACATATACTATGACTCAAACTTAATTCCTTGTTGAAAACAAACTACAATGATGTACCTCTATCGCGATGAAATTTCAACAACTACCTAGGCATGTGGCCAAGGCTATAAACTAGTGAAATACATCACCTAAGGACATCATAAACTTGTTATTGGCTCAAACTTTAGCTGCCTAAAAGGCCGTAATTCCTCTCGTTTATTAAATAAATGAACCAAGACATATCGCTCCACTAATTAAAAGTAGTCCTATATTATTACCCATAGAATCAAGAAAGAGCTCTCAATAAAGATTATACCAACCTTAGGCAATTTGAGTGATTTTGGACACGAATGGGGACAACACCTCAGATCCTTATATGCAAGTTATCGGGGGCTTTCAATTTCCTTATCTTATTTCTGTCAGGGAACCTATTCTGGTGAGAGGAAATGGACATCAGATGGTGGTGACTCATTTCTAGCCGGATCTAAGGCTTTTCTCCCCATAAAAATCGAACAATTAACAAGATCAATTCCCAAATCATAATCTTCTCAATTACATAACTAACTAACCATATAGATAAAGTAATTAACCACTCAAAAAGGCAATTAATTCAATCCCTTATCAACAACTGCAATAAAATCAACAACTTCAGCTTCATGCAATCAATCAATCTGCACATTATATATCTACACAATTGCAGAATTCATTACCAATCCTAAAAGGAAATGCCACAATCCATCACATGTATCCAATTCTTCTCATTAAAAATTCAGCAGATATCATAATAATTATAAAAAAAAAACCCAATAATTTAACATCAACAAATACCCAATTCAAGAATAAAGATGTGAATCTATGAATCGAAAGTAAATAATTCAATCAATTAAAAATCTGCCAACACAGACTCAAATCACCAATTTATTAATTAAAACTGACACAAATCTGCACAAAATACCAACACAAGTCAATAATAACCCATCCAAACTAGACTGCATATCAACCAAAATTGAACAGGTAATTGCAGAATGTAAAGTGTAGATGGGGCGGGTGGGTTCGATTGTGTCATAAATCGAGAAAGAAATGGAAGTCGACCTAGGCGGGACAGAAATCGAAGTGGGAAAAAAAAAAGGAATGGCCTTGAACTCGGTCACGGCTTGAGTGGGAAGAAAAGACGGTAATGTAAGGAAAAAAACGATGGTGGGAGCAACGGCTGTGGACAAAATTGGTGATGAAATTAGAGGCGACGGCAGCAGAACAGTAGTGAACAAGTAAAGGTGTAGATCGACAGTAATTGATTAGATTAGCAAAGGTGCCTGTGGTTGAAGTTGAGGAAAGATGGCGATGGCGGAAATCGAAAATGAAGGGCAACAAGGAGATGGTGGGTAGAGAGAAGAAGAAGAGGAAGAGCCAAGCTAGGGTTGGAGGTGTTTATATTAACTTTGTAATTTTTTTTTAATTTATATTAATATTCAAAATCAACACACAAAAGTCGGCCGACAGGTAGTACTTTTTTTTTTTTTTTTTTCAAATAAATTATTTATTTTTTATTTTAGTCTCATTTATTCTTTTAAATATAATTATACATTTTTATCGTATTTTATATTTTAAAACTTAATTTTTTAATATTAATTAAATTATTTAATTATCTTAATTTATATTTATTTTTATTATATAATAATTATGTTTTACTAATACATGTTTTTAATAATTTACAAATTATACTTATAATATGTAGAAACTTTCTATGGAATGAAAGAAGTAATATTTTATAAAAAAAATCAAAATATTTATTATTAAAAGTTAAGACATTATTACAAAATGTCAAAAAGTCATAATTCAATCTAAATTAATATACTCTCTCCGCAAATTGAAAATTTACAATTTTTTATTTTTATTTGTTCTAAAACAAAGTTATTATTTTCTATTTTAGTAATTATACTACCTATCTGACATAATAAATATTTTTCTAACTTACAATATATTACACAAATGTTATTATTTTTATATTACACCAATAGGATATTTTTATTTTTTTTACTTCAATCTAATATAATACTAATAAAAATGTATATGCAAAAAGTAAACTTTACACTTTGAATGAGATGGAGAGGGTAATTTATATTATTGAAATACTTTCTCATCTCATATATCAAAATTTATTTCATTCATTAGCGTGAATGGAGTCATTATTTATTTACAATAATTGTGTAATTTTTTTATAAAACATAAAATTAAATATTATTTGTTTATTATTTTTTAAATTTTTAATCATTTACCATTTACTAAATAAAGCTAGAGTTAATTAAGTAATCTAATGGAATAAGGAATGAAAAATTTAATGTAAAATTTAATACTTATTTTTTATTTTTTAATATTATATTAAAAATAATTTTAAAGTTAAAACATTATATCAATGTCTATTTATATTATATTATACAATTATTTTAATTCAAAATTTTTATTATACAAATTCCAATTCGAAATCCAAACTCCAAAAAAACACACCATGAAAAATTGAATGAGGAGATACAAAAGGTGGCGTCCAACACACCAAAATTTGAGCTTTCCTTTGTCTTTTGATAGCTCATTCGATTTATATATTTTTCTTTTATGTTACATTTGTTGATTTTCATTTATTCTCATATATTAGAATTTAGATTGATCATACGGCGGAGGATTTTTTTTTTTTTTTTTTTTCTCAAAAGTCTATTGAAAATACTTCAAAATCACGGCCTTCCCATCAAATTATTAATTTGAATCAAATTTTGTTCTATTTGAGTGAACAAAGACAAGATAATAGAGTACTTTTGGTAATAATGATTTGCATGCTATTTTCTTTACATAATTTTTATTCAATTTGGATTGTCTCATAATATTCACACAATCACTAGAACACGATTATCTAAACACAAGTTTTTTTTATTGTATTTATAGTATTATATCAAAATTTTCTTCGAATTTTGCTAGAAATCAATTATTATAATTTTTTTTTATACCATTGTTGGAATAACGACTCATTATGAATAATATTAATTTTTTTTAAAAAAAAATTAAAATTTGAGAGGTCATACGTAAATTCATTATTTGACTTTTCTTCGAATATTAAAGGTTTCTTTTATATAAAATATGTCTTAAATAAATGTTTTATAAAAAATAATCTTTAAATTTTTTTATTTTTTTTTATATAGGTTACTCAAATATAAATATATTAATCAAACCGATTCAAAAATGAAATTCACTTACAATTCTTGCAATTTGATGATTCAAAATAATATTATATATATATATATATATAAATTTATCTATCAATTACTAATCTTTGAGCTACAAATCAGTTTCTATTTTCATATTTACATTGCTTTTTTCTTATCTTTTGTTAGTGTTATTATTCACTTACTTTAATTTTTAAAAATTATTATTATTTATTTAATATATATACTTGACATTGCTATAGCTCAGGAGATAGATCGTCTGTTTTAAAGATTTAATGCTATTTTTTTTCGTCTGTATTTACTATATTTTTTATAATTTAAAATTAGTATACTAAAAATTTTGATAATTACTTGAAACTATACATGACTATTATTTCATCAAATAAATTAATAATGTGATAGTTAATCTTACACTATATTATGTTTTTTATATATATATATTTTGTGATTTCAAATAAATTAATAATGTGATAGCTAATATTACAAGATATTATATTTTTTTATATTTTGTGATTTTATTTTATTTTTAAATAAAATATATTGAGTTAAATATATATATATTTTCTTATTAAACAATAATTAAAAACATTGATTTTTGTTGGGAATTATATAATAGCTTCTTATTAATTTCTATTTTAGATATTCAAGAAATGGAAAGACAACTCTATTTATGCCATTCATTCCATGAAATCGAGGATGATGATTTAATGTGGTTGATCTTTTAGAATTATTGCTAAATTTGTATATACATTATACATATAGAAAGTATCTTCTACATATATATATATATATATATTAATTTAAGAATATAAAATCTTTGTTTAATTAAATTTTGGTTTCAATTTTTTAAATATACAATTTCCTCATTTACCTAAAAGAAAATAAGGTAAATTGTTTAGTATTCGACCCCTTTTATCAATTTAGAACTTTAAATTGATATTGTCAAAAAATAGTCCGGCAAATAAAACTTTTTTGTTAGAATGATCATCCGATATCGAATTCTCCATTTGGCTCACCAACAATGGTGTGACACGACTGATTTTTTTAGGTTTTACATTATAAATAATTTTTGATACAACAATTTTTTTTTTTAATTTAAATATATATTTTTAAAAGAAAAACAATAAAACTTAAATATTTAATTTAATATATATTTTTAAAAGAAAAACAATAAAACTTAAAAGATTGAGAGTCAAGTATTATGTATTGGAACCTGAGCATATTATTTTTGTCCGTCAAGTTAATATTTTTTTTATTCATGAAAAATATGTGTTTTCATTTATATAAAAAAAATTAAAATATTTTTAAATTTATACTCTTCAATATTATAATTATGCCACTAACATCTACTAATACAATTTATTTAATATTTAATCTCACATCAATAACATACTCATATATAATAATACAACAATTTTAATAAATTTATAGTTATTTTCATTATGAAACATTGTATTTAATAAATATTTTATATATAATGAATAATAGTAATAACTAAATTATAAACAAACAAACAAAAAAACATATCTATTATGCAATAAATTATTAAATGACCTATTCAAGCTAAAAAGCTCAGAAGAGTTTGGGGAATTCCTGCTTCAGTAATGCATCGTCTTCCTTTTTCCAAAATTTGATGAAAATTCATTAACGTCTTTCTTCGATCATCCAAGGAAATCAGAAATGGAGATAACAAAGCCAAATATCTTTAATCTCTAATTATTTAATTAATTAATCTCTGTAAGCACAATCAGATCCATGCTGTCCTGATGAATGTCGTCCTGATCCGATCCCGTCGCTGATCAAGATTCAATCCGATCAATCAATCTCGCAGGTAATCAATCATATGCATATATACACAAATTCTTGTCTCTATATCCATGGAATTTCATGTAAGGATTTTCCATTTCCAATTGAGGTCAGGGATGGAGCAATTCAGGCAAATAGGAGAAGCAGTCGGAAGCATGAAGGCGTTAATGGTGTTTTCCGACAACCTCCTGAATCAGAGACAATGCTCTCTAATGGTAGACATGGCGAATTCCGCGTACAACACAATCGCACACCTCATCAAACACAACCTCAGATTCGACGAAAAGAACACCAAATGGAAGATAATCGAAAATCCATTAAAGGAGCTTCTAAGAATATTCAAAGAAGCAGAATCCATCCTCAAGCACAGCCTCGACGCCAAGAACTGGTGGGCTAAAGCCCTCGCCGTCTCCCGGAACGACGACTGCGTCGAGCTCCACGTCCACAACTTCCTGACGTACTTTCCCATCGCCGTCGAGGCCGTCGAATTGGCCGGACAAATCTCCGACGACAATGCGCATAAGAAGAACTTGTACTCGATAAAATATCGAAAAGATTTCAAAGATCCGAAAACTTTCCAGTCGCTATTCGGCAATCATTACCTCGTCTCACTGGATTTCTGCCGTCGGATTGAATCCGCCCTCGACGACGATCGATGGTTTCTCCTCAAGAAAATCCGCGACAAGAAGAAAAACTCCTCGAACCGCGATCGTCGTCTCGCGGATTTGATTTCGAGCTACTTAGGATCGGGACGGACTAACGACGACGACATGATGTTGCCGAGCTCGATTTTACTTAATTCGAAGGATTATTCGGTGAGGAAAAGAGTCGGGAGCGGGAGCAACGACAAGGAGATACAATGGCTCGGCGAGAGCTTTCTAATGCGACAATTCAACGGCGAATTCGAGCAATTGATCCCCGACATTCGGAACGATATAACACTTTGTCATCCGAACATACTTCAGACGATATGCGCGTTCTCTGGCGAGGAAAAGCGCGAGTGTTTCTTGTTGATGGAGCTAACGAGTCGAGATCTATCGAGCTACGTCAAGGAAACGTCGCGAAAACGAGGGCCATTAACCCTTCCCGTCGCCGTCGATGTAATGCTTCAAATCGCACGAGGAATGGAATATCTTCACTCAAAAAACGTCTACCACGGCGAGCTGAATCCGAGTAACGTTTTTGTAAAATCGAGGGGCGAAGTGTACGTGCACGCGAAGGTTTCCGGGTTCGGCGCATCGTCGTATTACAGCCGTGCGAATGCGACGAACAACAACAACGGACAGATACCCTTTATATGGTACGCGCCGGAGGTGTTAGCCGATCAAGAACAGTCAGGAGGTTTCAAAGGCAACGAGAAATGCGATGTGTACAGCTTCGGAATGATATGTTTCGAGGTTTTGACGGGGAAAGTCCCATTCGAAGATGCGCATCTACAGGGCGATAAAATGAGCCGTAACGTACGAGCCGGGGAGCGACCTCTGTTCCCGTTCCATTCGCCGAAGTTCATCACTAACTTGACGAAGAAATGCTGGCATAACGATCCCGGCCAACGGCCTAATTTCGCGTCGATTTGTCGAATTTTACGGCACGTGAAGCGATTCTTGGTGATGAACCCGGAATGCAGCCAGCCCGACTCGCCCGCGCCAATCCCGCCAGTCGATTTCCAGGAGATCGAGGCCGGGGTTTGGAGAAGCCTCGGGTCTTCGATGATGTCGGGGGTGACGCAAATACCGTTTCAAATGTTTGCATATAGAGTTACCGAGAGGGAAAAGGCGAATGCGTGGGATTGCTCCGAATCGGGCAGCGATGGCGACGAGAATGCGCTGCCTGTGGCGGAGGAGCTCTTTTCACCGCCACCGGAAAGGCCCGAGATCGCGCCGCGGAAATTGTCGTTGCCGGGTAATCTACCGGGAAAGGCAAAGACAAAGGCAAAGACTAGTACACAGCCAGGTTACTACATTACATTTCTATCGAGAAATCGATCCTTTTATTACATGTTTCTTGTTCGACATGGCTGTAAAATCGGCATAGACGCGAAATCCCCGTGGAGTGCGTGAGTATGTATGGGGTAAAAAAAATACTAGCGTTCGTACGGAGAATGATTGACTGACTGGACGGCGATTACTGTGCTGAATTATAAAATTCAGCTCGGTGGCGACAACACATTGACAAATGACAGACAATACATAATTTATATTAATTAATATAATACGAATACAATAAATGATATGACAATACATGATAAATGTATATACATCACATATTATCATTGATCTGATCACAAAAAAATATGTTCAAACAACACCCCTTGTAAGTATAAACTGTCAAACAGAATTTAAACCGAATGGTGTTGATTTGGGACAAACTCATGAAAACAACATGTGTTGTATATATCATTAACATGTATATTAATGATTATCATATGTTGTCAGTTCATATGGTGCATTGAATTATATTAGGATAAACTTTGTGTTGCATGTCTTTATTGTGCTAACATATGATATATGCTGAATTCGATGGTGACACATATTTTGTGGATTATTTTTATGTTTTATCAGATGTTGTATTTTTATTATATTAACATAAATATGCGATGTCTATCTATTTGTTATATAATGTCAGTTTAATCTCTCACGATTGATTATGTGTATGTCGACAGCCACGCCCAAGGGAAGGGGACGGGGCGTAAGGTCTGTAAGACCACCGGCGGCGGGGCAAACTGCAATGAGGAAGTCGGAAAGCCAATTGACCTTTACGAGTTCAAGACCACGAAGAAAGTCCGGTCATGTCTCGGATTCGGAGTTGACGTAGTTGTAGTTGTTGATGTATTTAAGATTTATTGTTGGCTGCCTTAGCTTCCCTTTGAGATCACTTTCATATTCATTTTTAACCTTACAAACTGATAAATTTACACATTTCATGAGGATTGAACTTTCGACTTCAAATATATCAGTGAGCAGTGACCGAATTAGCAGTAAAAGTTCGGAGGAGCAAAAATATCAATTTTTTTTTTTTTTAATCGATTCAATGTTGTTGTTTTTTTAATATATAGTACGCCCGGACAAACAAAAAATTAGAAAAATTTTAATGTTTTAGACAAAATTTCAACAAAACTACATAAAATCTAATACTTTCGCCCCAAAATAAGGATATCATTTCCTTACAATACTAAATATCATCTTGATCTTACTTATAGTGGCATGATCAGGTGTAAGTTGTAAGTCATGCTTTTAACCACATACATCTATAATATTCTTAACAAAAAATATAGTAGAAAAAATTGTGCACATCTCCTTTAAAGTAGAGTATTAAATTATAGAAGTGTTATTAATAAAACTTCCAAAAAATAAAAAATAAAAATTTTGACGTATTATGTTATATGTTATTAAGTTAATTAAGTTGATTTATAATTTTCAAGTATCAATAGATTTTTAGTAAATTTTACTTAAAAAATAAAAATGTGTTAATTGAAGTGGAACCAATAAAAAAAAATAAAAATGAGACAATTAAAATATGACGAAAAAAAATATAATAAATAATACAATGATTATATGGAAATAAAATATTGATTTAATATATTTTATAAAAAGTAATTAAATTTAAATTTTTATATATATTAAAACAAATATAATCAATATATATCATTTTGTAAAAATAAATTTTATATAATATAAAAAATAAAAATATTATTTGATTATTACTATAAAATTATTATTATTATTATTAATGGTGAGCTTCAATTATTTGAGTAGACCCACCTTATTAATACAAAATCATGTGTGTGGAAAATAGAAGAAAAACTAAAAATAGAAAAATGTGGAAAGGCCAATATTGAGAATGAGGTTGTCTAAAGCCATCTCCAACACTCAATTCTATATTTTTGAGTTGCTACCGTAAAAATACAGTTACAGTAATTTTACTCCAATCATAAACTTCAATTTTTATTCTAAAAAGTATATTTCCTATATATTCATATTTTATATTATTTTATACTCTCTCCGTCCCAAATAAAATGCAACATTTGTTTTGGACACGATTTTTAGGTGAGTAGTATTAAGTATGATAATTTAGAAATTAGGTGATATGATAGAGAGAGAGAAATGTATATTTTATTTTTTTATTTGGATGATGTGATGGGATAAAGTGTGGGGTAGAGATTAAGTATAATTAATTATTTCCTATTTTGAAAATATTGCAGGGTGTTTAGGACATAAAAAAAAAATATTGCACGGTGTTTGGGACGGAGGGAGTATAACTTTTTATATTTATAAATTACACCCCAACTTTAATTTATTTTTACATTAGATCCATACATATATAATTTATATTACTTTTCAACAGTAAAATTATATATCAATTTAGAAAATAAAATTATACATTACTTTCCAAAAACTAAAATTATATCACTTTAAAAAAATAAAATTATACATTATTTTTCAAAAAAATAAAATTACATACAACTTTTTAAAATATTAAATTATATATCATCTACTAAAAAATTAAAATTACACAATACACTCAAAAAATACCAAAAATATAAATAAATAACACAAAAACTTCACTCCATTTTTGGAGTGAAATAACACCGTGCATATCTGCAAAAATAGGTGGAATTTGGGGTTGGATTGGAGCCCATTTCCCCTATTTTTTGTACAGGTTGGAGATGATCTAAACCTATTATTGGCTATGAAATGTGAAGAAGATATTTGGGATATTAAGGCAATATAAATATATAAATAGCGGTAGAAGTAATTATTATTTTTATTAGTTAAATATATATATATTAAATATGTGATACTTGTATTTATATATCTTGCTAGTTAAATATAAATTATGTACTATTTGTATATAAATATAAAATTATCTAAATATATTTTAAATTATTTTTACTATACAGTACTAAATGAATATTAATTATTTAACATATGTATTTATATGTCTGGCTAATTGAATATAAATTTTGTATTATTTGTATATAAATTGAATCTGTTCAAAAATATTCTAAGTTATTTTCAACATACAGTGTATCAATTATGTGATGTTTGTATGTATAAATTCTGATAATTGAATATAAACAAACTATGTTCTATTTGTATCTATATGAATAAAATTATCTAAATAAACATTAACTATATTATATTTTTGTTTATATCTATTCCAAAATATATAGTAATGATGTATTATTTATATTTATATGTATTGATATTAATAATTTTATATGGAATATAAATGGTGTTCATGAATTGTTCACTTATGTAAACTTTATTATTATTAGTTTATGACCATTTCCATTACATTACATATTTATGGTTTGTATATTTGTTGTAATATTATTAGAAAAATAGCCAATAAAAATATTAATTATTTATATCGTTATTCACTATATTATATATAATGTGCGCTTATGTGTGCGACAGTGGTTATATATATATACACATAAGTTTATATATATTACTCCTTTTGACCTTTTTTAAAGTACTCTTTCGAAGTTTTGTTGTAAATTAAGATATATGTTTATTAATTCATTAAATTATATAACTTATATTTTGTTATTGAAAGTTCGATATAAGGATGTGCTTGATTTGTGAGATTGTTTGAATTAATTATTTTTTTTATATAAAGTATAAAAAAAATTATGTAAAAAATATAAAAATAATGAATATATTTAATACATTAATATTTTTGAAAAAATATATATTTTTCTTTAATTAAGGATATGTTTGTTTGGGGGGTTTGAATTTTGAATTGAGATTTGAATAATAAAAATTTTGAATTTGAATAATTGTACGATGTGATATAAATATGTGTTGATGTGATATTTTAAATATAAAATTAATTTTTAGTATAATATAAAAAATAACAAATAGGTGTTTAATTTAATATTTTTCAGAGAAAAAACCCTAAAAAAACACACCCCACCAAGAGAGTGGCCACTTTCTCTGGTAGTTAGCAGATCGAGAAATGAGAAGGCAACAGGGTGTATTTGTTTGGGGGTTTGAATGTTGAGTTTAGATTTGAATAGTAAAAATTTTGAATTTGAATAGTTGTATGATATGATATAAATATGTGTTGATGTGATGTTTTGAATGTAAAATTGATTTTTTAGTATAATATAAAAAAATAAAAAATAAGTATTTGATTTGATGTTTTTAGGGAAAAAAAATTAAATAAAAAACCCACATTTTTAGGGGAAAAATAAATATTTGATTTGATGTTTTTAGTTGGATAATATGATGGGCTTTGCCCACTTGACCTCTACAAACCCACATTTATTTAAAACTTAAAAATCTATGGGTGCGTTTGTCCGTGAGTTTTTGTTTTTGGGTTTGAATTTTTAAATAGTAAAAAGTTAAAATTTGAATAATTGTTTGATGCAGTATAATTAGAAGTTGATAATAATATTTTGAAAATAAAATAAATTTGTAGTATAATAAAAAAAAAAAAAAAAGAAAAGTAATTAGTTGATTTGATATATTTGGATGAAAAAAAAAATTTGAATAATAAAAACTTTTGATAAAATCCACAAAAGAACACAACCTATGTTACTATAAAATTTTATGATTTTTTTTTTTTTGGTCCGTTAGGTTGATTTTTGTTGGGCACGTATCAATTTTCAAAGATGTTAGAATATTAAATTGAAATTCTCTATTTCAATTAGCACATATTTATAGCGATATACGAATGGTCTCAATAAGAAAAAAAATCCTAAAAATCTTTTAAATAAGAAAATTGTCAAAAATGTAATGTATTACTTCTTAATATATTTCAATAAAAAAATTATTAAAAAAAACAAAAGGAAAGTATATTCATTACCTAAAAAATACACTCCTTCACTCAGTTTTGACTCAATATAAGAAAAGATTATTACATTAAACACAATTTTAAACTTTTTCAAATTAAGGGTTTGTTGTTTTTGGTGTTTAATTTTCTTTTGTTTATGTATAAATATATATATATATTCATTTTGATATATTTCAGATGAAAATAATTATTCGCTGTAATATTATGCGATTTTCAAAGAAAAAAACATGAATAATGACGTTAATAGGCATGATACATACTTTTTCTTTTAAATGAAAGTTAGAATTTTTTTATTGTGGTTTATAATTAATTTGAAATAAAATATTGATTTTTATTTGTATTTAAATAGTATTTTGATGTAATATTTTGTAAGAAAAATAATATATTTTTTTCGAAAATCGTATATAATGAATAATATTATGTATATCTCAATTTTATTTTTGGGCAATATTTCAAAATATTAAATTTACTTGATTTTTTTTATGGAAGAAAAAAGATGAGAAGACGGGTTGATTACGCGAATTAAAATCATATGTATTTATGTAGATAAATAAAGGACATTACAATCCTCTAAACCATGGGTTAAATATATGGTATGTTAAAAATCAAATCCAATATTTCCTACATCATGGACGTTCTTTTTCGTTTAATATAATCTATGCATATACGTTTGGCTAAATTCGATATTAAGAAACTAACAATGTCAAATTTTATACATTTGTTGTTAAATTCAATCTACTAGAAGAATCTTTCTGAATTTGTCAGAACAAAAAAATGTAAACAGATGTAACAAAAACTTTTAAGACATGGTCGAGAATGGAATATCGTAAATCTTCAACTAAAAAACAATATATTCCACTCGATCCCTTTGTATTTCAAAACATAACATGTTGGGCATCTACTATAGAACTGTTTGCTCGTGCTCTTAAAGATGATGTTTTTTTAATCAGTATATTGCGCATAAAAATTAAAATAATCTAAATGATTTATTTCGATACGAAAAGTTATCG